TCCATGGGCACTGGAAAAATTCTGTATGCAGTCCTTTTACAGTTCTCCCAACTGCTGAGAAATTCATACCAACATTGCCTTGAAGAAATTCAGTTGGCCGCATTTAAGTGGGTGGGATTACCCTCTTCAAGTATACCGCAAGAATACGACGATATGTTGCAGGCATCATTTGCTTCTGACCTCCACTGTTTTGCATCCTTCTATGGGCTTAGCATGGCATACAAAAAACTGGTACGAGATAGAGGCATGCCTCTGCCTCCTGCTCGAATGGTAAGGCCTACACTGCTGGTTTACTGGAACTCTTTAGAGGGCGGCGTTGACGAGTACAGTAGAGCAATAAAGTCTTTGAAAAAGACCAACACGTCCGAGAATCCAATCGTAAGCGTGATTGGACGTATCTTATGTTCTCAGGTTAACAACGCGGCTATTTTACACCGCCTAGCAGTTGCAAGAAGCAAGGGGCTACTTACGAGTTGTTATGTGGCAAGCAACACCAGTAGGTCCAGATATACCAAAATTACGATATGGTATAACGCAGTGTGAGACGTTCGGTGCTTTTGTTAGAGGCCTGGCAGCTGAAGTTAACGACTACTACATGTCATGTAGTGGGCGACGCACATCGCAGAACGCTTCTTCGCCAGTCCTACATGGTCCAGAACCTACGTCTTTAAAGCCAATGTATGGCTTTGAAGCTGCCAAAAAATACAACAGAGCAACAGACAAAGCGCGAAGATTAAGTTCAACACTGATACATAGCACTGTCAAAGGACAAGCGACATACTGCTCTCTTTGCCCTTACACTCATGTTTTGAAGTATAGAGAGATGCGCTATACAAAGAAAAGTGGACCAAGAGAGCGAAAGTGGTGCGTAGTTTGTAGGCAAGCAATATGTAAAAGATGTTGGGAAGAGTGGCACTCCGTGGACACATTGGTTCGCACGTCTATAACGGAAGCAGAGAAACGTACATTTCAGGATACAGTGAGAGCCAAACATAGCAGCCAGGGACAGAAATCTGAAGATGTTTAAAGAACATATGCTTCTAACCTGTCTGCACGTCTTTTCGCCGGCGAGCATCGCCCGTATCAGTCCGCAAATAGCACCATTATGTCTATCTACTCAGTCTGTAAACTTTATCGGTAATGCATGCAGGCGAGTCTCCCTGTGAACTCGTACGGCAACAGAACCGCACCAGAACGTGAAAAACTGGATTGATCCAGTGCGAAGCCACTTCGCACTTGGGCGGACACATGGAACTTTATGACTTCCAACGTTTCGAGAAAGCTGCTCAATGCCAAACGTAGAACATGGTGACGCCGGAATGTGTAGACGTATCGGGCAGCGTGCAGGATTTTTATTCAGGACAAGGGAGGTCACTCGGGGAATGGGTGTCACTGAGTGATGATCACTTATCATTTGGGTAATGATCACTCTGAGAGATGAACTCTGGCCATGAGTGATGTCACTGCCCTGTGTCCAACAGATGATGTTGAGTGATGATCACGCTGAGTGATTCACTCTTGCCATGAGTGGCGTCACTGAAATGGAGCGCTCATCAGCAAGGGCGGCATATATCCGCATTGCAACTGCCGACTCAGCCCTCGCTGCGGAACCCTCACCTTGTGCTCTGCTTTTAGTTCTCCTTTCCTCGTTTTGTGCTCGTTTTTCTTCCCTTTCTTTGAGAGCTTGCAAAACAAGTTCGCTTGTCAAATGAGCTCCATTTGCAGTACTGATCCTGACGCGCCCTTCCTCCTCCTCGTCTGCATCCCTCAGTAAAGATCGCTGGATTTTGTTGAAAGCAAAAATAAGTTTCTCTACAGTAACCTCGTCACCAACTTTAAAAAGTCTAGAAAGCGCGTTTATATCTGTTCCGTTTTTTCCCTCGCTCCAGAGCCCGCACTTAGAAAAACCCACCTGAATTGTCGGGCGTACAAATGACTTCAAGTACGCGTTATGAATACATGATGCAACAGTAAAGGCATTTAGCGTTGAATTTGCACGAGCAGAACGATGCAATTCAGCTTGCAAGTAGGATTTGTAGGCCCCGAACACGGACACATCGAGCGGCTGGAGTTCATGGGATGTGTGCGCAGGAAGAGCAATAACTAGGATCCTGTTCTGTTTCATTAAGCTTAAAAAACGATACTGGACATGCGCAGAATACCTATCCAGAACTGTTTTTTGTAGCAGAACTACGTTCTGTCTTCTAACGCCCTTGCGAAGAGAGCGACCTACAATTTTCGCCAACGACATTCCAGACTGATCCATATTGAACACTTGAGCAGGACATGAAATATTAAACCGAGTCATAGCAGCACGCAATCTAGATATGTGTGCCGTGACATTGAGAGGAGAGAGTGCATCCAACCGCCGACTCTCAGCCTGCCTTACGTGATGGTACCTCAATCCGTTCCTCTGCATGAAGTTATTGATGATTTTTTGAGAAGGTCTGTCGTGTTTGAATTTAAATTCACTTTGTTCTGCTGGAGCAAGCATTTCTCGGAATTGTACAATAAGGTCCATGACGCCGTTTCTTGTCAGTGGCGTATTGTTTCCACATAGTAAGATGCTGCTTCAGCGAGCAAAAGTTTGTGTCGTTCTGGTATTGCGTGTGGCCTTCCAGGGGAAACTAAGAGGATCTGGATGTCAGCAGGCGATTGCGGTTGAGAATTCGGGGCATTAGCGCACCAGTGACGGAACGCCGTTCTAATCTTCGAGACGGAAACCTTGTGCTTGATAGCTAGAGACTTGTAAGGGGTAGGGGACTCGGTCTGCCGATCGACAACCGCTCCCCGAAGACGAAACGTTTCGGAGTCCATCGTTGAAGAGGTGGCGGTTCTTTGCAGTTCTTTGCAAATAGAAGGATATATAGTGTCGTGTGTCACGAAAAGGCGCCAATTTTTTAATCGCAGGGGAGTCAGGCCTTTGTCCATTGCCATAAATCGTGGAATAGGGGACTATATTTTGAGAAAGACGAAGTTGTGTTAAGAGAACAGTGTTTCGGTGTCGGGGTTCGCGGGAAACGGTGGGCTGACGATCAAATTTTCGACATGTCAAATTTATCCGATTTGCTAAATTAAGGCATGTACTGTTACCTCGGAGTGGAAGCTGCGTTGCCGGTAATATATGAGCGCGAGCGCAGAGATGAATAAAAGGGGGGGGCACTACACGACCAACCCTCACTTTACACAATTCCCAATCCTTCTACCCGAGCCCTCACCTTACACCACTTTCCCATCTCTCGTTCCCCTAAGAGCATCTCGAGCGCTGCAGCTAAATCTATTCCAATTAGGACGCGTGTCAGTTTTCTAGCTGGTCGCTGTCTTTGGGCGCCCCATGTTCCAAATCGTTTGGAATGCGATATGCCAAATGCGATGCTCGTCTCCATCGCGCGCACTCGTTAACGCGCAGGACGACATGGACTCTCTGGACGACTTCGGCACCCTAAAACCGAGGGCGTCGCTGGAGGCGGTCAAAGGCAGCGCCGCTGTGCAGGGGAATGACGAGTGCGACATTGAGGACTTCCTTACAGACGATGACGAGGATGACGTGATTTCGGATGCCTTTTGAGGACCAGCTGTTCTGTTTTTCGCGCCCACATGTAGTTGCTGGCTGGCTTCCCGCCACCCCAGGCGTTTCTACTGTGAGATTTAATCGGAATTAATGGTCGCGCGCCCTAATCAGCTTGCGACGAGCTCGTGGCAAAAATCGCTTTGGGATACATCTCGTTGCAAATCGGCCTGATTTGCCACGAGAAAAACTCCAAACGCCGATTTAGAATTCGATTTACGATGCAATTTGCGTTCTTGTGTCGCGGTGGAGACCAAACTTTACCCTGATTTGGTAAATATCATATTTGGACCGGATTTGCTGCCGCGGTGGAGATGCTCTAAGCATACAACACTTTCCTCCAAGTTGGTTGGGGGGGACGTCAACACAGTAAAGTTAGATAAATCAATAACGTTGCCCGTAAAGTCGCGAAAACACGTGTTTTGGCCACGAGTTTGCTCGGATGTTCTAACGTTGTCCGTAAAGTCGCGAAGACACGTAGGGGTTGTCGCCTCGATTCGAGTGCAGACACGCGCCGAGTGCAGATATGAGCACCGAGGCTTGCCAAGGGCCTCATATCGCACGACGCACAGCGTGTCTGCACGATGGGATCGAGGCGACAATATGCTTGTCTATCGGCTGCTACAGCGACTGTCAGCCATTGTAATTGCAGTAAAATTGTTGGCTTGATTATTGTCTGCACTATGGTGCAGACATTTTCGGCAGTAGTGCGGACATCTCCAATTTTTGCATTGCACTGAACCCCGCCAAGCCCTTTTCAGTAACATTACGGTTCTCCCCAAAACCGGTTAATGTCACCGCTGTCACGGCGCGTATGTCCCCGTCAGCCGGTAGACAAGTGTTTTGGCCTCGAGTTTGCTCGGATTTTCTGATTGCAAAATTTTCAGACAAGTAGGGGTTGTCTATTGGCTACGAGTGCAGACACGCTCCGAGTGCAGATATGAGCACCGAGGCTTCCCGAGGGCATCATATCGCAGCACGAGGCAGCGTGTCCGCACGATGTAAGCCAGGAGACAATATGCTTGTCTTCCGGCTGCTACCGCGACTGTCAGCCATCGTAATTACAGTGGGTTCGAGTAACATTGTTGGATTGCTTATTGTCTGCACTGTGGTGCAGACATTTTCGGCAGTAGTGCAGACATCCGCAATTTTTGCACTGCGCTCAACCCCACCAAGCCCTTTTGAGTTTGCCCTCGTTTGTCCCCGCTGTCACGGTGCGTATGTCTCCTCAGCCGGTAGACAACGAGTTTTGCAAAACTCACAGCATACCGAAAACTCGGGACATGTGAGTTTTCCACGGGGTTTCACATCCGCCTGATTACTGTACGGCAGTGCCGGATCGACCCGTCTTGAAGGAAAACGAAGTGAGGTTTCCGCTCTCTCATCAGCACAAACGAGTCTCATACTGCACGGTTCGTACCGGTTTTGCGCCATGGACGCCCCTATCACTTCATCTATCCAGAGTCCATCAACGGATCGAAGCACCACAAGATCTGCCACATATGCCGCTAAAGCAATCGCAGAAGACAGACAAGTAGAAGCTTCTAAAAAGCGGTCCTCTCTAAACGGCCCCCCTCAGGCCGTCAAGAAGACGAAACACATCGCCCTTTCGACTGAGAACTATTCTATCCTTGTGGCGAGCTACAATATTCGCTTCGGCGAGTATTCGCCCGGGTGCACGTGATCCGTCGGACGGCACAACGATGTACCAGACTTGCGTTTGTTGCGGGCAGGTACCTTGCTGGAGGTCAGTCCGCAAAACTGGTGGTGGGATTTTTCAAACTCAGGTTTACTTTACGTCCAGCGAGTTTGTGGGCAAATGGAAAATAACGAACGTTTCACGATTCTTTTCATGTTTTAGGGTGCGTGCGTCTTTCCCCGCTGGAATCACACGAACATTCTGTGAGTGGAGAAATTGCCAAAATATATCAAATTGTTGATGTGCTAGATTTTATGGATTTTTTAGGGTTGACGCTTGGACGTTTCTGGAAGCGCTCGCCGAGGGAAATAAAAGTTTTTGGAGGCTGCGGAGAAAGCCGCGAGGGGACCACCCAGAAACCCCCTCCCCCCCCCCCCAGTTCCCGACCAACACATTCATTTACGAAAGAACAAGCGAAAGCACATGAGCTCATCCTACTGATCCACACGACCGTCGCCACTGTTTCCGCTTTCGTCGACAACGACAAGAGTGCCGTGCGCTGAACGCGGCTTTCAACTTTCGCATCCCTGTTTTTCTAACAGCCGGTGCCGTTCTCACGCATAACACACTCCGCACCTCACCAACTTGTCATTAGCTATTCACAAAAAAAATACAGGAAAGATTCCGGCAAGAGACGGGACCATATAGAAAACGGAGGAAGATGCACTCTACCGATGTGTTCATAAGCCATGCTGGCCCGGATAAGCTACACATCGCACGTCCCCTTTTCGAGAAATTGCAAGCTCATGGTTTAAATTGCTTCCTCGACAAAATCTCGATGGAGCCCGGGGACTGCGGAGGGGATGAAATGACGAAGGCTATGGAGTCTGCGAAGGTCGGTGTTTTCATACTTTCTCCCGAGTTTGCGGCTCGAAAGTGGACGATGAGGGAACTGCGTTGCTTCCTACGCCGACGGAGTGAGGCGATAGGGAGTGGGATGCGACCACCGACACTGATTCCAGTGTTTTACAGACTAAGTATTCGTGAATGCAGAGAGTTGGATCCAAATGATGATGAAAGAAAGAATATGTTTGAAGTTGAGAAGTTTTTTAGCGACGAACGACAGCGCGAAGCGAGCACGGATATGGTGAAGAGGGAGCTACAAGAGCTGGCAGGTATCACTGGGATTGAAAATGACGAAAGGGCAACAAACCTGCCCGGAGATGCATTCGGCCATCTTGCAAGGGCAAATCTTGTGGAGAGAGTATTTCTGTGGGTGAAGAAGAAATGTGAGGAGGATTCAAGTGATGAAGTGAGAGAAGTTTTGAATGCAAGTGGCCAAGTTGGAACCCAAGCTGCCGTCACGTCCACCGCACGATGTACGCTTGATGTGTTCACGCCCTGTATACACGCAGAGCACAATCCCGACGAAATATATTTGCAACTGAATTCTCGGGGGATCGATGGATCACCGAATACGTGTGAGGCGCGGCTAAAGGAGGCCGTGCTAAGTACCGATAGGAATACAAGTATAGGAGCGACGGCAACGGGGAAGGGCGGAGTCGGGAAGACATGCGCTCTTCGAGCGATTGCGCACGACGATGACATCAAGGCTCGGTTTTCAGGCGGAGTGTACTTCATGTCCTTGGGGAAAGACGCCAACGTAGGGCGGCTGATTGAGCAACTGTGTATAGCCGTAGAGGCGTCTGGTGGCAACCAGGCGGCTGCGAAAATGCGGGAGCAAAGCGAGTTGAGCAGGGTACTGACCAAGATGCGAGCATGGTTCAACACACGTGTATGCCTGTTCATTATTGATGATGTGTGGGCCGTGAATGGTATAGATGCGTGTATGCTTCAGAAGTTGTCCACTCTCGCTGACACAGCAGGAGACAGCCGAGAGAGGAGCAGACTTCTGTACTCCACGAGGGACTCAAAGCTGAAATGGGTCGGTAAGCGAGTGACTTTCGAGCCGAGGGAAAGGGAAGGGAGCGATTCAGTTCACATGCTCATGCTCGCGAGCGGGGCGAACCTGGAGGAAGCGAATGATCCGAGATGCAAAGAGGCTGTGAGCAAAATCTTGAAATTGTGTGCTGGTTTGCCGCTGGCTCTGAACGTAGCCGGGACGGGTGTCAGGTACATGAGAGATAGATGGGAGGGAGAAGAGTCACAAGCGTGGGAGGCATACCTTTCGAAGTTGAAGAGCGGCACCACGATTCGTAGTGAGAGTCCAGAGGATGGGTATTCGTCGTTAGACGCGACATTACATGCGGCACTAGAGATTGTGGAGTCCGGCATGGGGAGCGATGCGGAGAGGTTAGGTCAGTTTTCGTTTCGAAAGATACATCGGAGTCTGTGTGTTATGAAGAAGCAAGACGGGATGCCTTTGTCGTTGGTAAGAGATTTGTGGGAGATGGACTACGAATCGGCTGAAAAGTACGCGATTCAGATGGAAAGGGTTGGTTTAGTAGACCTTCATTACGACAAGGCTTGTGGGTGGGTACGGATGCATGATCTGACGCACGATTTTGCGGTGCAGGAGGCGCTGAAGGAAGAAAGTGTAACGGTTTGGTATAAGAAGTTGGCAGATGTATGCCGGCAGGGAAGAGGACTGCTTGGTATGACTGAGAGCGAGGGTAGAGAGGGCAAGGATGCCAGAGAGAAGTATGTTTTCGAGAATATCTATCGCGTTCTGAAACAGGGTGGGTATGTGGAGGAGCTGAAGGATCTATTTTTGAGAGCGCGATGGGTGAAGGCAGTGATACAGAGAGGAAGTGTGTGGCAATACGAGGAAGCTGTAAAGGATCTCAATAGCTTTTTGAGGAACACGGGAGGAAGCGAGAGCGTTTTAAGGGATACGGGAGAAGAAGATTCGGTGTATGCGATGGAATTGATGATGAGAGCTGCACGACTGAGTGTACCTTTTTGTGGTGAAAGCAGTGCAGGGATTTACTTTCATCTGTACGGGAGAATCAAGCACAGGGCATCACAATTAGGAAGCGTGCGAAGGATACTCGAGGAAATCGAGGAACATGCGCCACGACCATGGCTGCGGCCTGTGAGTGAATGTGTAGGGCGAGCGGGAGGAAGTTTGATGGAGCAGATTGTGCTTCCGAGTACCGTTTACGAAGTCGGCATAGACTCAACGGGTGGCGTGTATGGACTGTATTTGAACCCGAACCGTACCAGGATCACAGTTTTCACACAGTCTCCGGACAAGCTAATGAAGATGACTGAATTAGACAACGATTTTGAAACGGGGAGCCGAAAAGTAACGTGCGGTTGTGTCAGTATGAGCAAACGCTATGCGGTTATCGGATATGCTGATGGGACACTACAGTTCTGGAGTGTATCGGAAAAGAAGGTGTTGTGGAGTGTCTGCGGTCATGAACCGCGGGTGTCTAGTGTTGCGATAGGTGGTGATGGAAAACGTGCAGTATCTGGATCGGATGACGAGAGCGTACGAGTTTGGGACGTGGACACAGGATTGCAAATCGGCGACGCATTAACTGGACACACGGGTTCGGTGTGGAGCGTTGGGATGAGTGGTGATGGAAAACGTGCAGTATCTGGATTGGAAGACGGCAGCGTACGAGTTTGGGATGTGGACACAAGACTGCGAATCGGCGACGCATTAACTGGAAAGACGGGTGTGGTGTCTAGCGTTGCGATGAGTGGTGATGGAAAACGTGCAGTATCTGGATCGGCCAATAGAGTACAAGTTTGGGACTTGGACAAAGGACTGCAAATCGGCGACGCATTAACTGGACACACCCATTTAGTGACGAGCGTTGCGATGAGTGGTGATGGAAAACGTGCAGTATCTGGATCCTGGGACGAGAGCGTACGAGTTTGGGACGTGTACACAGGACTGTAAATCGGCGACGCATTAACTGGACACGCGCGTTGGGTATCGAGCGTTGCCATGAGTGGTGATGGAAAACGTGCAGTATCTGGATCGCACAATCGAGTACGAGTTTGGGACGTGGACACAGGACTGCAAATCGGCGACGCATTAACTGGACACAGGAATCTGGTGACGAGCGTTGCGATGAGTGGTGAAAGAAAACGTGCGGTATCTGGATCGCATGACGAGCGTACGAATCTGGGACGTGGACACAGGACTGCAAATCGGCCACGCATTAACTGGACACACGGCTTTTGTGAGGAGCGTTGCGATGAGTGGTGATGGAAAACGTGCAGTATCTGGATCGTACGACAAGAGCGTACGAGTTTGGGACGTGGACACAGGACTGCAAATCGGCGACGCATTAACTGGACACACGGGTGAGGTGTCGAGCGTTGCGATGAGTGGTGATGGAAAACGTGCAGTATCTGGATCCTGGGACTTGAGCGTACGAGTTTGGGACGTGGACACAGGACTGCAAATCGGCAACGCATTACCTGGACACACGAGTCAGGTGTCGAGCGTTGCGATGAGTGGTGATGGAAAACGTGCAGTATCTGGATCCTGGGACTTGAGCGTACGAGTTTGGGACGTGGACACAGGACTGCAAATCGGCGACGCATTACCTGGACACACGAGTCAGGTGCTTAGTGTTGCGATGAGTGGTGATGGAAAACGTGCAGTATCTGCATCGGAAACGACCGTACGAGTTTGGGACGTAGAGAAAGGGAGTATAGTTCATCTCGGAAAGTTGAAGGACTGGCGAGATATCGTGGAGAGATTTCTGAATGCGGAAAACTTACGTGCCGTCTCTCGCACTAGACGTAGGCGCGAAACGCTCAAAGTTTTCGTGAGCGGCGGGAAAATAGTGCATGAGAGAGAGAATGGCTCTGAGGCTGTTTTGGCGCAGCTGGAGAGTACGGTAGACTCGTGGGAGATAGACGATAATCATGGGGTCTTTGTTGGAGCGGCCGGCAACTGGGTGGCTATCATGAAACTAGTGGTCTAGGTGTGTAAATTTCACTTCCCTTGTCCTCTCGGCCAGACACAGACGTTTCTATTGTACGGTACGTGGTGGCGGCACCTGTGGTGGGGGTAGTCTTTTTTTTTTTTTTTTACAAGTCTTGAAAATCCCGGTTTACTGGCCGCGTTGTCTGGAATCTTCTGCAGCGTGCTAAAGAGAAAAGTACGTGACCTGTCTTCAGGAAACGTCAGTGGGCGCGAAACGCAGCCTGATGCGCGCTACTGTCACGGCGATGCTATGGCCCCTGTCCCATGAGCATGAGAAATGCATGGGACATATGCACGGGTTGACGATGAATACGTAGGATACACGATGGACATCGATTCATCCCGTTTCGTGTGGTGAAGGCCGACAGCTTTTGAAGTTTCTGTGGAAGTGAGCGATTTCCTGCGCAATGGCGGTGGCAACAGGGAGCTGAGGCACGTCGTCAGGATGTGCGCTACCCTTTTCACTTTCTATCTTCCTTGAGAGCCGCGATTTCGGGTTGTTTTTTCATTTTTGCTTTTTGCTTGTTTATTCATGCAGAAACTGAGAAACTTCATGATTCTTCATGAAGAAACGACTTCAGACAATGGTAGCCACGACTTACACGTTACATCGCCATGATGGAGATGGGCTACAGGAACCCTAGGAAGGCATGGGGGATCTCGATTTCGATGGTTGATCGCGATTATCGGTGGGTCGCCTGAAGAAGGCCGAAGTGGTGATTTTTTCATTTTGCAGCATTATCTGGCAGTTTTTGAGCGCAATTGCGCGCAAAAACATGATTTAATGAAATCGCGGCTTGAGAGAGAGAGAGTGGCACCTTGAGAGAGTGGCATATTGTTTTGTAGTGCGGTGCTGTTTGAATGCATCCGTGCACACCAACAGTGAGGTGGCCAAAACCTGTTATGTTGTGCCCGGTCCCTTGGGCACCGTGAAAGCAAGTTTGATTTGGTTGTACCCTTCCACGAAAGTATAATTTGGTACCATTTTTCATAAATTAACTTAAAAACTTCCCTTTGCCCAAATGAGGTCAGACTGGTGGTGATGGCATGAATCCTGCTGCGCAGGCAACTCCGCCTGAAACCGCCATCATTGACCTGTAAACGCTATATCTTATGTGCAGAGAAACACCTCAGAGAAACCCACTCGCTCGGCGATGCCATGCACACGTACTGTACATTAGTCCTACAGTACTGTTGTGAAGAGTCGGGTACTGAAATAATAATCACATGATTTGATTGGATATGTGCGTCTGGCACACAGTGGAAACACGCGCGCATGACTCCACAGAACACATCGCATGTACGCCTATACGACGATATATAGAGTACAAGTGACACTCAGTGGGCAGAACGCAGAGGTAGACAGTGAGAGCAGGGGACAAGCGAAACGGTGAGAGGACAATGACGTGGGCAAAAGGAAGGAATTCTCAATCGGATGCACGGGAAGACGAACAGACAGATGCGTAAAGAATCAAGGAAAGAAGCCGATTCGTGCGACATGGAAAGAGATGGCAAGTGCATGCTGCTGCACCGAAAGGAAGCGTGTAACGGAATGGGGGCTGGACCCACGAAGAAGGAAGTGGCATCACCACTGACAGAGGCGAATTCTGAGGATGAATCGAAGGATCAATGCGTACGTATGACGTACATAGCATGGACGAATGCAAAGAAAAAGCAGCTTAAAGACCGGCAAAAAGGGAAACGAGCTAGGAGGAAACGATGGATCCCGTAGCTAGAAGGGTACGGCATCAGGCGGGAGGTAGCTGAGTTAGCAAAGAGAAAAAAGAGCATCGATCGACGCCAGCACATGCTGATTACATTTGCCGAACCCGTATCCACAGTGTAGTCCGAAGGAATCAGCCAATCAGCGATATCGTCATGAACAACGATTTTCCCACAACTGTACTGTGTGTGATACAGTATATGATTAGTGTACCCTACCCTTCCTGACAGGGGCATTTTGAGAATCGGGGGGCAATTTGGGAATTTTTAGTATTACTCTTCCAGATTCTCAAGAACAGGCCGTTGGCATGCTAGCGATAGTCGTACAAGTTTCTTCGTCCTCCCTCGTTGCCCTGCGATGCATAAGTCCGCCAAAATTTCAACTCCTGCGGCCCCACGGCGTCCCAACGATAGTAAAACTGTTTTCTACAGCACTGACATCATGGCTCTGACCACAAGTATTCGTGTGTCACGGGACTCTCCATGCGCGTGGAGAGTGCAATCGAAAAAGGAGGCAGGAACGCAACTCATTCATGCAAAAGCAGCCGAAAAATCCACTGCACTCCTTCGTATAGATACTAAACGGTCTGCCGTCGTGTAGGCCACAAATGTATCTCGCACAACAGTAGATCGGATTTATCACGCCCTTGAAAAGTGTGATGAATCCCTACCTTACGCCCCTCTATCGCCAGAAGCCCACCGCAGAGGACTCCGCACAGTTCTTACTGAACAATAGTCAACTTGGATAAAGAAAAGGATTTTATATGCGGCAGAAAAGGGTTTTGCCCTATCGAACGGTGATGTGAGATATATAATGACTCAGATAGCGTCTGCCAGACGTCCAAGATTTCGCACAGAATCTGGCAGTCCGTCTCAAGACACCATCCGCCATTGGCGTGCAGTGAACAGAGACGTCACTTATCGAAAAAGTGAGAACAAAGACGTCGCAAAGTTGGCGAGTGAAATTTTTACCCATGTGCTAACCTTTTCAAATGCATTGAGAAAAGTGCAACATGCTAATCCTGGTATATTCAGAAACCCTCCCCGCCGTTGGAACCTCGACGAGACAGCTGTGGGCTGTCAATATGGGGTAAGAATTGAAGTATTTGGGTACTTAGGCACGAATCACGGTGGTTATTTGGCTTGTCAAGCTAGAAAAAACAACAAGCATATAACGATTGCGGTGGCCGCCTTCGGATTTGGTCGATAGATTCCATGCCTTTTCATTGTAGAAGGAAATAATTTAATTAGCGGACGGGTCTCTCCGCTCAAACAGACCGAAATAATATGCCGTTCCGGCCAAACTAGTAGCTTGTCTCAAAAAATGTGGTGTGAGAAGGGAACCATAATAATGACAACAGGCAGGGGAAGTATGGAAAAGAGACTCATTTCCTTTGTGACAGAGTATGTGGATATATTTTTGCGGAAGGCCCTAACCCTGGAGCTTTCCTACTGTGTATCTCTTGACGGTCACTCGTCACAAGAAGGTTTCGAGTGGCTGGAGTTGTGCAAGCAAAAAAGGTGCGAAGTCGTTCAGTCTCCTTCAAACACGACTCACTTCTTGCAACCGTGCGACCACGACATAAACTGTGCATTCAAAAAAGTGGATGTGCAAATACTGGGACTTGCTTCATAAACAAACAACGCTCGACATGCTATGTGTGCGTGCAAATCTGATGGTGGCGATGTTGGCTTACAGTGAAATCACGGTGGACAAGATTAAATTTAAGTTTCGAGAAGTCGGGGTTATGGCCAATGAACTACTCTTTTCTTAACCGGTTTAAGAGAACAGCATCAGATGCAGTCACATGTGACCCAAAAGGTGGCAAAGTCGCTTCCCTAAATGTCACAAATAGAACTTGGGACCCTGACAACCGGACTTTTCGTCAGCTAAAAAAACTTTGGAGGCTGCCAATGACCCCACGACGGGACCCAGGGATGTGTAAATGTTTTGGCGCTAAGCAAAAGTCCATGCACATACTTCGAGACAATTCTCAGTTTGAGTTTGGAGTCCCTTTTGTTAGGGGTTCGAAACACATTATGGGTTTCGAACCCCTTTTTGGTAATTAAAACTCATTATGAGTTTGGAACCCCTTTTTTGGTACTCGAAACTCATAATGAAGATACCGTACGCGTGAACAATTGCAGGCGATTCAGACATAGATAGTTGACAACCAAGGCGTAGCAGATGGAAAGAAGGAGATGGTACGAGTGAGTCAGCATTAATTTCTGGGGTCCTTTATCACTTTTTTCTCTGTCGAAATCTAGCTATGCTTTCTGAAATAGGCGCTTCCTCAGTTGAACGCCTGCCCTGCTCTTCCGCTATGTCCTGCTAGCTCCATCGCTGTAGGCCCTGCATTCGCAAGTATTCGGATTATCTGTCACCCTCGCAATCACATGCGTGCGCGTTCGTTTATATAACCCTCCGTTTGCTCCTAATTGGGCGTCCAGCTAAGGGAAACGTTTTTCACACCATGACGAAAGTGTTCGGGCGAACAGTCGAGATTTACTGGTCATGGTTCGCGAACCATGACCAGCAAATCTCGACTGTTAT